TAATAACTAGAACTATAATAATAATTAATAATCAAAAGTATAAAATTAATTAATAATAATTAATAATAATAAATACGAAAAAAGTATGTTGTGAGTGAATGAAGGATTCAGTGAAAAATGATGATTGAAATGTTTGGTAAGAATGAGCTGTTTACATCAAAGTTATGCAATGTTTGATTTTTTATAATTGTAACAGTAACAAGAAGTAAAAATTGTTAAAATTCTTCACTTCTCTCATCATTTCAACCAGTTTTTACTATTCTTTTCATTGATGCAAAAAAAAGAAAAAAGGAATGACAAACTTTTACTGAAAAAAAAGTCAATTTTAAAATGTGAAATAAACGATAAGACTCGTTGTTACTAATATCAGTAATATTTCACGTAAAACAAGCATATACCTTTGAAAAAATAAAAAATGAATATGGTTAAAGGAAAAGTTAAATTACTAATTAAGGTTTTTTCAACAAAAAAAAAAGACTTAAGTCAATTTCAGTAATTATACTTATTTTGTTAGCAATTTGCTTTGAATGTAAAAAGTTAACCAAAAAAAAAATAGCACTCTTTTTAAAGAAAAAATACATATATTCTTCTAAAAACTATTTAAAATGTCAGAAAATGCAAAAAAATAAAAGAATTCTTTTTTAATAAAAAATAAAAGTAATTGAATCTTAATTGATATACAAATATAATCATTTAAATCAAAAAGTAAGCCATAAAAATGTACAAAACAGTAGAATAAGTCAATAATAGACTTTACTTTATTCCTTTTCCTATTTTTTTTCGTGTTTTTGATAAGAATCTTTTAAATAATCACTGTAATAAGTGAAATCATTTGCATGGCATCTGAAAATTCGCTACTTCCTTAGGACGAAAACAAAAACTAGGCAGCATTATTAAATGAATAAATATCGTTTTTAACTAATTAAACACCAAAGATGATTGAAATAAATTGTTTCTTATCTTAGTGTAACAAATGTAAAAAAGGTTAGTTTCATCAAAATGCTTTGCTTATTACTTTCGTATTACAGTAATGCATTCAGAGACATTGTTTATTTGGAAACAAGAACTCTCAGAACTTCCATAAAAACTTTTGAAAAAATGGTGCTCGTTGTTAAATTTCATTTCTTCTCAATTCTATTACAGTTAACATTTCAAGCTGAGATATAAAGTTGCGCACCTTTGCGATAGCATGATAGTTGCTTTATCAGGCAAAAACCTTCAAAAGTCCATAATAGTTGTAGTCAGCAGTGTTATCATATTTGAACTCGCTTTTCTATCAAATGATATCTTCAATAAGAATATCACAAATTAGATATGGTAAACTCTCAAATATAAGTTCTGCTTTGTTTCAGTGGTTGAAGCTAGCTTAATCTGTGTATTTTGTAATTCCGACACGGAAAAATTCTCTACACGAGAGGAAGCACGATACTGTAAGCTTCAGTATAGAAATATGTTTGGAGTTGGAAGTGAGATGTACGCACATTGTGGGGAAAATGTGCAGACGAAAGGACGTACCATCTGGCAATGCAATGCAAGAAAATGTTATTTCACTACTATATTAGTAGACAGACACTATGAAGTCCATAGCAGTATGCAAAAAGTATGATCTGAAAGGATTCCCACGCATGCGAAGCCAATCTGCTCAGGAAATCGTCGCTAATGAGAACGTAGAGATTAGAGTCAATATGCGAGGGAGAACAGAGCTTAGAATATATTTCCAGATATTATGGTTTACAATAAGAAGCCACGCGAAGCAATCCTGACAAAGGTAATCCTGAGTAATCCTGGCATTAGGGTCAAGACAGGTTGACGGCAGTCGAAACCGACAATAAGCAAAAGTACGATTTACTGGCTAATAAACTCGAGGCGGAGATGAAATGCAGGACGAAAATAATTCCGTATGTGATGACTAAGGATGGAATAGTGATAAACTTCCATAAACGTTCCGCGAAGAAAATCAGAGATCTGATTAAGTGGAAGCATATATCCAATCGATAGTGCTCAAGAAGAGACTCGGAAACATCTCATTTTACCAAAGGTGTGGATTCAACGAGGATGAAGAGATCAACTCATGAATAAACGCAGGGAGAGTGCACTGAGAGTGTCAAAATACGGTCTAACGGTTGAACCAATTTCATATAATAATAATTATTATTATTATAATTATAAGCAATATATATATGTATATATATAGCTTATATTTTTTACTAGTAAGTAAGAATATGAATTTACTTCAAAGATTTTGATTGATTAGGGAAGAAATGAACCACAAAAAATAAAAATTACAAACGGAAATGGTGATAAATATTTAAAAAGTTTTGTTGTAAGGACAAGTTGATCTCACGCCAACGTTGACGACAAATTTACCTGATAATTTATATTGCGTATTTGAAAAGTTTAGAATCATATATATTATCAGAATGTATTTTGACAAAAAAAGTAAAGCTTTTCGTTAACCAAAACTTTTAAGTTATCTTGAAAGACAAATAACTAATTATTTTTATTGAGAAAACTATCAACATTCTGATATAGAATTTTAGGTTTAAACTGCAAAACAAATAAAAATGATGTATATGGCGGGCAATGAAAAGTAACTTTGAACAAAGTTGTTTGGGGCAAAGGTCATCTTGAATTGGCTCATATTTGTAAATAATGCCCCCTGGGGGCAAAGGTTATCTTCCTTACTCTGAATGTCTGCAATTACCTTTAGAGTGACCCAAATTGTAAAATTATAATTTCCATCCGCTGATTCGCTACAGAGTAATGAACAGTGCGCGATATTTCGATTCATATTCACTTCGAATTTAAAAAATAGAGGTAATTTGTAACCTAATTTATATTTCATATGAATGAAATTTTAAGAGTTGAGTACAAGAATCATATATATATAAGATTAAATGCATGCAAATAATACAAATAAATGTCTGCGCGAAAATGAAATGAGATAGTAAAATAGTACTGAATAGAAAAGTAATAAATTAATTAAATAAATAAATGGACTAAGTTCAGGAAATGCCAAAAATTAAAATATATGACAGGATAGAAGAATACGAAATAAAAGATAGAAAAAATTAGCACTGCCTCAAAAGTATTCTACAATATGACAAATGGAATACTTTTAAATGTGCACAGTAAAATAAAAAATGTTTGTAAAAATAACTATAAAATAACAGTACAAAAAAAAGATGAAAATTATAAGCAGAAAATTGCACCAAACATTGAGAAGACTACAGTAATAATCTTTATATTGTTCACTACAGTTTTTATATTGTAATCAAAATTATCTCATTTTTCATGCTTGAAAAAAATTTTTAAAAACAATTTAATCAACAAATTACTGATTATTGATCAGATCAATCAAATTATATAGCTGAATGATCAGTATTATAGTGCAATAAGATCAGTGATTACATTGGTAGCAAAGTTTAAAAAATTAATTTTAATGAATTGAAAAGTAAAACTGATTATGCTTACACTTACTTACCTATGCAAATACAAAGTTTATAGCATCAAATTTTAACGGAAATCATAAAAAATACTTTCAGCAATAAAAATGCCATGTGTAGTAATAAGCAACAATAGCAATAAAAATTATCCGTCTATTTTGTGAGTATAATTTAGATTTAACGTAAGATATTTATAACGAACAATTACTATACAAACCAACTTTTTGTCTGTAAAAAGAACGAGCGTCTCTTGGCGTTAAAACCAAAAATTCACATCTAAAACCTGATTTATTCTTCTTCATTCTCACTCCTTTCTCCCTTTCCTA